AGACAAAAGAATAAACATAGTTAAGATAAATATAAGTATAGGATAAAGCAAAATAGAATACAAAAATGTTATGTAAATATGTTATAACATGTAAAATTTAGGATAAATGCAATGCGAAATGTGCAATGTAAAAACCAAAGCCAATTTCAAGGCCAAAGAGCCTTGGGATAAATATATACATACAACTTATAAATAAATAGAAGAGCGAAAGAAGAAAGCATACGGCGATGTCGAAATTTCCGATTAGGTATTGGATTGGCCAAAAAGTAATTACGTAATCTCTTTTCTAAAACACAAAGATAAACATACATCTTACAATTAGAATGCCACCGTAACAATTCATTCTGCAAATTGAAGATTGGTGTCTGGCTGCTCAAGCTTGTTTCAGTAAAAGAAAATTTTCAAGTTCATAATGTTTGTTTGGCGTCGATTTCAAAATGGCAAGTCAAAAAAAATTCGTCGTATTGTCGTTGCTGTATTATTTTCAAAAAGCTTTGCAAACGCACAAACGCACTTGCTTTTTCGTCAGCCTAACCCAATATTCGTTCACTTTAGATATTTATACTTATAGTTATGTAAAATAAATTTTTCGCACAGAGATGAGAAACGAGGGATCCTTGATTGAGGTGTGTATCGTGTATCGTGTGTAACGTAATAAATTCCCGACGTCGATTCGTTGTGGTGGATGGAGTAGGATCGGCCGACAATAGGTGGATAGGTGAGAGAGTTTCATCGATCTTGGAATCGCGTTTCTAATCCACAGACACGTGGTCGAATGGCGGCGGTGGTGGTGGTGGTGGTGGTGGTGGTGGTGGTGGTGGCGGCGGCGATCGTCGTCGTTGGTTCTGACTCGCGCGCAGAGCAACACAGAAAGCCCGTTTTGTTGAGCAAATATACTCGTTTGTTGGTTCTCCGCTTGGTTACCTGCGCGTCGCGTCGGGGGCCCCGGCGCAAAGACGACGACTGCGTGACAAGGGGATGAAATAATGGGAACGCAGACGTCCGTGGTCGTTCGTGCGCTTCGGGAAAGCGATTTCCTACGGGCGCGCCGGTGGAAAACGACCGTCGAGGGGACAACTGGAAGCTCGAAGCTCGGCATTTGGAACACGCGGAACAAACACCGCTGGAAGTCGGACGTCCTGGAGCTGGAGACCGACCGCGCTCGTTCTCCCAATCCGTTGCCAATCCATAGCGCTTTTCTAATCATGACGCAATGAGTGACCTGGCTACCTATCATTCGCCACGGTTGCTCCCTTCGCAGCACGAAACTGCCTCCATCCTCCGAAAAACAAATTCCAGAGACTCTGAAAGTTGATAGAAACGGTAGCCATTTACCACATGTATGCATGTATGTGAGTTACACGACTGAATTCCTTGGTTCACGATAAATTTACGAACAAACGTCAAGCAAAAATATCATTTCGATACTAGTCTATCTCTAGCGTCGAAAGAAAGTAACGCAATCTTACGGATTTTTTCCGAGTTTCAGCGCAGGTGCAAATGCCTCGATGAAAAATTCATCAGCCAGCCGAGTCTCTCAACCGTGGCGAATAGGAATTTTTCCTACCATAATTAAGCGATGAACGCTTGGCAATTAAGATTTGATACGCTTGGCGAATCGGTACCAAAGTTTCCAGGTAGTGACTGAAGGCTTTGAGCGAAGTTGCCTGTCGGAAGTTGAAAAGATAATCGGATCGACGTGCAAACGCTAGTCGAATATATTATGTTATATTACATTTCGATTTCCAAGATAGAGCGAGCAACGCAGCTGAACTCACAATGATGAAAAATTGTCGATACTTTAAGCTGTTGTAACTTTGTGAGTCACGTGGTCTCATCCTTTCCAAAGATTTCACATCGTGTACCGAGTGAGAAAGTAAAAAGTCCTTTTATTCTCAAAAATTGTAGAAATTGTTTTCAAACGTCAATTTTTTTCCTCTGTACATCGATCCCTTGATAGTCGCTGTCAACGATTATTTTTGCAGTTTTATTGAACTTTGAAGATCAAGATGAAACGTCGAGATTTTCTTGATTTTCTTTGTTGTTTGACTCTGATGGTTGTAAATGGGAAAGCTTTAATCTTCAAGATGGATTTAGTCGGAAACGAAATTTTTCGTGAATCTTTTTCAAAGGAAAAGAACATTTTTCCATTTGTTGCGTGGTGTTGAAATACCTCGGAGGAAACAAACGAATTCAGGGTAGTAAAAACAGAAGCTTTACGTTTTAAAAGTTACAACAATTCTCAGAATAGCGATGGTAACTAGTAGGTATTAATTATCATAAAATTTCTTTCGGAAGATTAAGATGTCCTGCAAAGCCTTTTGCTTTCTTCTTATATTCTATGTACAAACGTTTGACAAAGTATTATCAATTGTAAAAATCCATATGCGCGTTCAATCACGTTGGCCACACTCATTAGTAAATAGCCTGGCTTGGGAGAAATCGTTGTTTGGACTTGGAATTAGAGTAAGCCTTTACTTACCTCTCAATAAAAGAGAATTCAGGATACGGTTGGAAAATCATGGATAATCAGGATTTCCGGGACTTGGTAATTACCTGTAATACGTGTCCATAAATACGTCAAGTTTTTGAGTGCCGAATCGTTCGATCGAAGCGAAGCAGCGATCGAGCCCTTCGATAGGAAAATCGTGGAAAAGCACAAACGCACGGCAAACAAGCAAGGATGCTACTAAATCTGTGGATCGCCATGGGGTGACGACGTTTTCACGATGGGGGGTCGTGCAGTCTGCGCTGTATAAAGATATCGTACCGGCGCGGTGCAGTCTGCCGGCAGAGCAGATCGGAGAGATGCTCTTTCTAACCAAATGCTCTCTACCGATACCAATTCCTTTTGCCAGGAATGGCCGAATAACAGCCAGCCGTCTTTCTTTCCCTGTTCCCCTGTTCCTTTTTTTCACGTTTGTCACGTGCCTTTTCCCTGCGACACGTCCTTACTCCAATACTCACGTACGCGCACGTAAATACACCTAATGTCTAGATAGATATGTCTACGTAGATCTTTCACAAACGATTATACCGCAAACGACGATATTTATTACGGGCTGATTATCTTTTAAACCAGCTCGACAGTTTTGAAAACACAGGTAGCTGTACGTCGTTTGAGTTTCGCCAGAACGACGTTTGAAACGATAATCCAGCTTTCACGTAGGCACATACATAGTTGGAGAACCTTGAGCCGTTTCGGTTCCTTCAAAAGGAACTCGAAGCGTTCTTCCCGGACCACCAGGAAACAGTTTTTCGTTTTCTTCATCGCGAGATGGAATCTACGAGCTACCTTTCCTTTTCCACAATTAACGAGCTTTGCCCGAGAAAACTGGCACGCGTGTTGTCGCTCTCGATAACTAAAACGATATACGGATAGGTAGCTGAACCTATCTGTATTGCCCACGTAAAACGTGCCGACATAGTGCGGCTAGACGCATCTTTGGACATTAGACCAACAGGTAGCCGTTATCTCGTCCAATTTCATTCAACTGTGGGCGACCGTTTTACATCGATCGTTTAATAAATGTAAATAAGTTTAAATTAAATCCGAGTGATCTACGAGGCGCAACCACAGCCAAATCGATCGAAAATTTGACAATCACGAGAGTTTATAGAAACGTCGTACGCTCGACGAAACACTTTGAATCGACGAAACGTTTCCTCGAAACGCAATGGAAATTGCACGTGAGATGATCCAACGACTCGATCGTCCGGAAGACCAATAGCTGCTACCTGAGAGATTTCCGGTTGCTTTAACGAGCGTGCGAATTAGAGAGGTGTTGTTTGTGCGTGGCGTCTCCACCCTGAATTTTGAGGACAATGACGAGGAATCCGGGAATAAGATGTCTTCTGTTCCTCTGCTTACGAGTAGGGTACAACAGCGAGCAAAATTTATTCGAGTTGACTGGTCACGAATGACCAACCCTTTTTGTACGTCCATCTCCCAAGACGGTGATTTGAACACAAGAGTGAAAAAGGCCGTTGAGATTACACTTGTTTTTGTTGACAAAACTCACAAATTTCGAGAAATATTCCTGCTGCTAAAGCAAAAATAAATAATACGCGAACCCCCTAAGAGGTTGTTGCAAGTTTGATGCGAAAAAAAGTACCGTGTACGTGTGTACCTGTCTAGGGGGAGAAAAGGGGGTGACGCGGGCGAAGGAGAAAAAGAGAAACGAAAGAAAAGAGGGATTGGTCGACGAAGAGAGAGAGAGAGAGAGAGAGAGAGAGAGAGANGAGAGAGAGAGAGAGAGAGAGAGAGAGAGAGAGAGAGAGAGAGATCAAGGAACTAAGGAACGGAAGAGGAGGGTATCGATTTCGAAGGTTGTGGACGATTCGATCGAAGAGGATTGGCAGTGGAAGGCTGGAAGAGCGCGAGCGACGAGCGGCAACAAAGGGCATTCACCCCCCTTTGGTGTCGGTGTGTTGACGCGTGGACGAGCAACGTGGTACCCGCTTCCCGCGGAGAGTTGGCTGCTCGAACGAACGGCGCGCGGTGCGACGCGGAGCGATACGCGGCGCGGCGTGGCGCGGTGCGGTGCGGCGCAGCGTACCGAGGGCGTAGAAATACAGATATCGTAGCGTTTGGATTTGTTTGTATACGAGAGTTGGCGGCTTGGAGTTTAGTCGCGGCTGCGCTCCCCACTATCACGACCAGCAGGTCGACTACGTACAGAGTACGAGTACGAACAGAGAGAGAGAGAGAGAGAGAGAGAGAGAGAGAGAGTACCTAGCACGATCGGCCACCTTGGAAATCCCTGCCTCCGTCGTAACTCCGCACGCTGTTTGCACAGTTTACTGTCAAACATTGGCCGCAAAGCAGCACGGTGGGGAGAGAAGAGGTGGTCGGTGGAAGGCGCGCCGATTGGTCCGATCTGTGGCTGTGTAGGGAGTCGAGGGCTCGGGAGGCGTGGTCAGGGAGACGATATATATAGGAACGGTGGCGGGGATGACAGCGAATAGCCGGTCTAGCTCCGTCGGGGCAACATAGCATCCCGTCGTTTACCGCAGTCGAACGTTCACCATCAACGGAGAAAGGACCGGAGAGGTTTACGACGAGACTTCCAAGAGAGTTACGAGTGCTGTGTTCGTGCAAAAGACCGTCCTTGCGTCCATACAGTGAATCTCGACGTTATCGTTCGTGTTCTTCCTCCAGAGGAGAGCAGACTCGAGAAAAGACATTGCCAGTCTCTCTCTCTTTCTCTCTCTCTTTCGCGTGCGCGCGCGCGCGCGCGCGTTCGTCTCGAAAGTGCTCGCGAAAAGTTTCTCAAAGAGAGACGCGTGTCGGAAGAATGGTGAATATGCAAGGATCCAGCGAGGAACAGACGGTGACAGCCTCGCCGCCGCCGCGAGCTGCCCTCAAGAGCAGCTTCAGCATCCGCAGCATCCTGCCGGAGGCGTGCGCCGGCACTCCAGCGCCAAGCGTCAGTCGATCGGTCTCGCCCGAGATCACGAGACATATTGACGACAGCGATGATTCCAGCGATCTGGACGTGACCGGGGACGGTGGCAACGAGACTCCACCGCTGGACTGCTCGAGGAACTCGGCGGTCAATTCGGCGATCAACGCGAGCCCAGCCGCGACGACGGCTACGGCGAATACCGCCGAGCAAAAAGACTTGAAAGATCGGCAAAGTACCGACGACAAGAAAAAGTGCGAGAAACCGCCTTACAGCTACAACGCGCTCATCATGATGGCCATTCGGCAGAGCCCGGAGAAGAGGCTGACCCTGAACGGCATCTACGAGTACATCATGCGTCACTTTCCGTACTACGAGAACAACAAGCAGGGCTGGCAAAACTCGATCAGGCACAACCTCTCGTTGAACAAGTGTTTCGTCAAGGTTCCACGGCACTACGACGACCCGGGCAAAGGGAATTACTGGATGCTTGACCCGAGCTCGGAGGACGTGTTCATCGGCGGGACGACCGGCAAGCTCCGCAGGAGAACGACGGCCGCGTCGAGATCGCGACTGGCCGCGTTCAAGAGGAGCGTCGTCCTCGGCGGTCTGTACCCATCGGCGTACGGGCCGCCAGGGTGGCCAGCCTCGCTGTACACGCTCCCGTATCTGCACCGGGCAGCCGCCGCCGGTTATCCGGCAGCGACCGGCGCCTACTCCACCACTCCCGCCGGTTATCCAGCGAGTTTGTTACCCGGCGCGGCCACCAACTCGGCCGCCGCCAGTTTGCCGTGTAAACCGCAGCCGCTGCCAGCCACCGCCGCGCCTCCGCCGCAACACGGCCCGTTCTCCATGGAGAGGTTGCTTCAGCCTCCGACCGCCGCTGGATATCCGGCCGGGATCACCCCGTCCGGCATCCCGTTGCCGGAATGCCGGAACCCCTACGACTTTTACTCGACCCTGAGATCGTTGGCCGCGCATCAGCAACATCAGAGCAACGCGGCGGTGTTTGCCCACAGTCAGCAGCCAGCAGCCACCAGGTACCACGTGAGTCAGCCGCCGTCGACGCCTCTTTTGGGACAGCCGGCGTCCGCTACCGCCTCGCCGGGCAGCAGTCCCGAACCGATGTCGCCTCACTCTTCTCCGCCCGTCACCATTTGCAATTCCGTCGCCGTGCAACAACAGCCGAGATCTCTTACGCACAATCCGCCTCAGTTGCTGCTTAAACCGATTACCGTTCTCACCGGAAGGCAAAGCTGAACCATCTCCTCCTCCTCCTCCTCCTCCTCCTCCTCCTCCTCCTCCTCCTCTTCCTTCACCACCTCCACCACCTCCACATCACCCTCCTCCTTCTTCTCGTTGCTTTAACTTTTTGCCCCTTACCCTTTCCTCCCTAATGTACCGAGCGCAACGTTGCACGTTGCCACGGTTTCTCCCTTTCTCTCCCAGGAGGAGCAGGAGGAGGAGAAAGCTGCAGTTGACTCTGCATCCGACGACCCGTCTCGACCGTTATCGCGGGTACCATTCTATGTGTCTAGCGTCTTCATCCCCCTTTTCTTTTCCGAGATGGAAATTCTTTCCAAAAAAACTTGCGACTTTGAACTTTTAAAAGTAGGTATCGATACCTTGTCGCGACAATGTGATCGATCGATTGTAACAGAGTAATATATTGTCGTTGTAAATATTCACAAGGTTCGTTTAGATGATCTCTCTCTGAATCGCCGGATCTCCAGGACCCACGGCACACCCACCTAGATGTGTAACATCTGGCAGCCTGCGGTAATCGAGATTCGTCGACGTTGTTAAATTATGTACATAGTTAATAATTGTTATTCGTAAGATATAGACGTCTTTGTGTATATATGTAATGTATACATCCAAAGATCGTGGATATATGTTGCACGAGCAACGTGCGTATAATTGTTGAAATAAATGTTCCAATTTTCTAAATATCTTATCTCGTGACTCATAATTACCTTTAGCCTCTCTCTCTCTCTCTCTCTCTCTCTCTCTCTCTTTTTCCATTACTCTACTGTGCATCTTGTTCGTTCTAGATTGTTTCGTTTATTTATCTGTTTTACAGTCAGCAAAAGTAGCAGTCGCTAGGTTTCGTTTCGTTTTTAAAGTAAAGAGTAAAGAGACCCCTTCTTACTCCCGTCGTGATTTAAACAATCGAAATTTGAACAGTTTATAAAACAGGGACCTGGTGGAATCCGGCGATTGCGTACGAGCCATTGTTTCTTCTCGTTCGGCGTCGTAAATTTCATCGAGTATGCAATAAAGGCATCGTAAAAGTAACAGGCAGAACCCAACGGCTGTCAAAACATGGCACGGAATAAAAGTTTCGTTCGGGGCAAAGTCAATGAATACCGTGGATACCTAGCGAAGCAAGGTCGACCTACGAAAAATAGGAAATTGCTTTAACCATAACGCTTAGCCATAAACCATATTTCAGCATCCGTTCCTTTCTTCTCTTCTCTTCTCTTTCCGTCTCTTTACTCTCCTCTTTCGCCGTGAGGATTTTCTCTCTTAACCGCTTGTGGTGCAGCTTACGGTTTCGATTTAGAGAAACCATTCCGCGTGAGGAAAGCAACCCTGCTTTGAATTTTAATTCAAACATCAAACTTAACTTCTTCAAATTGAACATCAATAGGTATAAATTGACCAATGTTAATAAGTTGTATTAGTTAAAGTATGAAATACCGTTTCGCATCTAAAATTACAGTTACAGTTGCAACAAGGGGTTTGCCCTATGGGAACCTTTTTAAATGTCCAATCGAGACAATATGTACTTCAGAATCGAGTTATAAATTGTCGTGTTAATATTACCTATTATCGCGCGTGTAGAAACGTTTAGCGAGAAGAGTATTGCCGAAAATAGAGAATGAAAACCGAAATATCTTGAGGTTTAGGTATTACATCCAGAGACAGACCGAAATATTGTGAGGCTTAGGTATTATACCGGTATTTGCCCACATTATCGTAGTATAACCGCTATTTGCGAAATCATTATAAGACGGTCTTACTGGTATTTTCATACGTATTTTATTGGTATTTGATGTCCATAGCGGTAAAAATACCGAAATATATACCGGTACGGTATCACTTTACCGACGAAAACACATTTTTCATTTTCTACGTACATTGACTCATTAATATTCGGACATCGTGCTATTCAAAATATTGTCGTGGATTTCGATTGTTTATAACAGTAAATTTGGATTAATTTTTTAATAATATAATAGAACACTCATTATAGTTTACAGTAACGTAAATTTTATTTATTTATTGCACATACTTTTCTTAATACACAAACACTAAACTGAGCTATATCGAAATGTAGCGTGGAAGAAATATTCGGACATTTGAGGAACTACAATATTTGAACCTGAAAATTGTCAACATAAACGATAATGAATATTTTGTTAGGTAGTTCTTAACTTCAATAATATACCGCAGACGCTTGGGCATATTTCCAGTTCCAATTTCTTTGAAGTAATTTAGCGGAATATTCTTCCATTCTGCGATTAATCGTTTTAACTCCTCTTTCGATTTATCGACGTACGACAATTAGTCATTTTTCAAAAAAGAAAAACGTATCGAGTGATCGATCATCTTTTAAAATGAAGTAAGAGTATCGTGGCTGATATTGTATGGAGAGGAACAAGGATGAATTAGTATTAGAAATAATAAAGTATACGTGTGTAAGCGTCATCAAATTTATTATCGACAGCTTTATGAAAACATTTAATCATTGTCTCTTTTTCCTTTTCTAATATATTAATATTTTATTTACCGGTATTACATCGGTATTATACCGAAATACATCTACCGACCTAACTCGTTTTGGTAGCATCACACCGGTATTCGTATCATTTTGGTTTCATCAAACGTAATCGAATAGTTACCTAAAAAATGCCGGTATTTTATTGGTATCCGTAATACCGATTCGGTCTCTGGTCGAAAAGGACGGATGATGGCTCTAAAACGAGCTACTTTCACGTGGACTCGACTCGAAGCGACTCGACTCGGCAGCGTGTTGTTGCTCGGTACGAGTGACTGCTGGATATTGCTATGATACATTGAGACAATGAGGCGTAAATAAGATAATAGCGTACGCGCTCTCGCGTAGCTCGAACGGAGGGTTTAAGCGCTTAAACGAAGGGCCGAGAAACACGCGAAACAGAAAGAGGAAGAGAAGGAGGAGGAGAAAGAGACGGACGACCGATTAGGATCTGTAGATGAGATTGTGACCCGCGCGGCCTCTCCGCTCCAACACGCGTTTCGCATTCCTTCTCCCGCTTTAAACTTTCTCTGTCTCTCTCTCTCTCTCTCTCTCTCTCTCTCTCTCTCTCTCTCTTTAATTCTTCGTGGCAGACGCATTATTAAGTTGGTCAAAAATTAACTGCAAATTGTTTTTCTTTTCTCTTTGCGTGCGCAAATGAAAATGCGAATTTTTCACGAGAAACAAAAACTTACCAATATATCGACCATTTTGTTCAATTACCTTTTGCCATTATTCGAATGACTTTATTATTTCGCATTCAAAAAAAAAAAAAAGAAAAGTGTTTGAAGAATAATTTGACGTTCAATAGTGAAATTTAGCAAACCAATTCTGATGCTGCTGCAGTTTAGATAATATTTTGTGAGCTTAGACAACGTTCCTTTCCTTTGTCGAAAGTACAGCAAACTGTTCCTTTCTGATTTTCCATTTTGAAATCGACGCGAAACAAACGGTTGTTAACGAGATTTACTTTTCCTAAAAGCTTGAACAATCAGCTGCCAGATTGCACAGTGAATTTTAAAATGGAATTAGTTGCATTTTGAGATGTCAGTCCAATGTACACTTGCGTATCTATATTCGTCTTCTTTTCGAGCTGTCCGTCCATTTTTTTCGTTCGACTATTTATCATTTATTAGTTATATTTTCCATCACTTTGTCCGACCAATGAAGCAATTAACGCAAAGTATCTCCAGTATCGAGCCATCTGTGTAAATCATGCTATTCTCGGTGGTATAATAGAAAGATATATATATATATATATATATATAGTACGTACTGCTAGACGAATTTCAAACGTTGTTGGGTCAAATGGCCATTAGGTTTGTGGCTTTTCAACTCGGTATCGTCGTGCTATCGATTTAGACGTTCGATTCGTCGACACAGACCGGCCGCGAATCGGAACTAACCTCCCTGGTAATTACAGGAATGTATTAGCGCTGGGATGGCGCGTTATCACCGAACCGATAACAGTTGTCAGCGGCTAAGTAAGCGTATAAAGCAAGATTGAACGAATGTTGCATAGCATCACGTAGTCGAAGGGGACGATAAACACTTGCGTGGTCAATTGCTCCAAGTGGCGAGTACACTCTATGGGCGTGTTACTTCTCCGTCTGTGCGATAGACGTTCTTCTCTATCCGCGTGCGTGCGAAAGTAGTTTAGCCCTTTTTTTTCTTTCACGTTTTCTCGGTACAACGATCCTTTACTTTCAACGTGATTCGTTTCAATCAGCGCCAGTTGTCTCTACCTATCTGATCCCCCGTTGCTTTTATCTTCGTCGACGAATGTCGGTCCGAAATTAAGTTTGTTTTTCTTTTAAATCTTTTGGACGATCGACGCAACGTACGAGCAAGCAATTTCACTCACAGTGTCGCGAACGTCATCCTCGCACGCGTTGAAACGTGCATTGAGCATTTCAGATTTCGTGAAATTTGCATCAGAGTCGATTAGAGTCAGTTTCATTGCAACGCACGCGTCGTGAAATCTAGAAATGTGTATGGGGAGGCTGTTAAGATCGAAACTTGGCTCAGAAAAGCAGAGCGAGCAGAAAGTGGATTTCGAGCGTGCGCGGAATCTGAATTTCTGCATAGACGCGTTGGAGCATACGCAGAGGCACGCAGCAACAGCGAGCGAGCGAGCGAGCGAGCGAGCAAAACAGGGCGTGCAAAACGCGTAAAGATCACAAGTGTTCGTGGCATTTTAGTAAGTAGTCGGTAACTCGCTGAATTACTTTGCGCTATTACATTATTGTCGATGTCGTCAGCGCTGGTCGCAGAGCCAGAGTCGGGCCGACTGGGCTAGGGTTGCCGCGACGATGCCTTTCGGAGCCCTTGTAATACCATTTCGCTAATGCCAGATGATTGTCGCGTGATTCGCGCGATAAAAAGGTATTCGCGTTGCACGCGTTGGACGGGCGACGGACCCTTGCCGTCGATGAAATTGCCTTGCACATCGAACCACGCAGATCGGCGTAACCGGCGTAGTTCTACAGAGATACATACGTACGTACATACATGCATACATACATATTTAGTGGACGTATCTATCGGTACGAATAGAGACGTGACGCGACGCGGCGCGACGATCTCGGCGCGGCCGGTTGGTTCTCGAGTTCTCTTTCGAAATTGCCTACGGTTATTTTGACATCGCCATTTTGCGTTCTCACAAGAGTCACCGGCACACGTACACACGTTACTTATGGGTAAATAAGCATGTATCCACGATACACGATATAAACGGCGATGGTCTTCTCTCTCTCTCTCTCTCTCTCTCTCGGACGAAATTGGTCCAAATAGAATAGGCGCATCGCACATGTGCCCGACGCGTTTGGGGTTGGCGCGTCAATAGATTTCAATGGGAGCGTGTTACATTATTTTCATTCGTAGGTGCATACACGCGCAAGCAACCACGTAGCACACACGTGTGTGTACGTACGTACGTATGTATCTAGGAACGCGTTGCGGAGATTGTTGCGGGGATTGTTGCGCGCAGTTTCCAGCTTCCCCTCTCTTTCTTCCACGGAGTGAAAGGAATAGACTGGTTTTGCTTTCGAGCAGAAGGTTTCCTCTTGCCGCAGGGGTAGCTTCTGTCCCCTAGGCAGCTCGGGGGAAGAAGAACAGGGGCTCCGAATTTCTAGCCTATGGGGATGCGCCGTGAGCGCGATGGTGGCCGATTTGCGGTTTATTCGCTACGCTTCCCGACCTTTCCATTTCTTTTCAACCGTCCGCGTCCGAGTCTCGCCCGATCTCTTTCGAAAGTTTCTCCAAATTCTCCGCGCACAGAACGCGTCGCGTACAGATCCTTCCTTTCGTTGCAATTTCACTTTGTGTCTTTTGACGAATTCTTGTTGAATTTTCTGCAAAGAGGAGAAGAAGAAGAAGAAGAAGAAGAAGAACGGGTGAACTGTAGTAATTAGAGAGGAACGCGCAAGGCGAGACGATCGAGAAATGGTCGGGAAGCGAGCGGAAGTCCGCTTGATTTTTCGTGACGCATACGTGCTTGACGAGTGGTTGGTTACCGCGCAGAGAATGTTGACGTGGCACTTTGATTGCGGTCAATTTCGAGTAAGATTCAAGGATAGTATCAAGTACAATGTAGCATGTTGGTGATTCGGCCACGCGCGAGTGACGTAAGGCCGCGCGTACCTATGTAAGTAGCCGTGTTCGTACTCTCGTCGCGAGATGATGACTCGGTTGATTTATTTAAGCGAGCAAGAAGAAGGGTTAAGCCGGAGAGAAGACGCTAACAGTGCCATGTTCCTAACAGCGCCACCTCCGCACGCTCGGTAGCAATTGCGCGAGCTGCTGGCGATTGCTCGTCTGGAGCGAACCAGTTTGCGGGCTTTCGGTCGCGTCGCCCTTTCCTCTTCCTCTTCCTCTTCCTCTTCCTCTTCCTCTTCTTCTTCCTCTCCTTCCCTCTCGACCTCTTGCGGACGCCCACTTTCCACGAACGCAATCACTCATACTCTCTGACGTTTTCTTTCCTCTTTCCACGTCCCGATCCACGTCTTCACCCCGCAGATTTCCCCGAATTTTTAATTTAAAGCTCGTGACAACTAGCTTCGACTATTTATTGGCTGTTTGTCCGACATTGGTTATTTGTATCAGTGTCTGACGAATTCGTCGGTTCGTGTACCCGGTATACAATTCGTTTCTTCGAAGCAAAAAATGGTTTGTAACTTTGAAACTATTAATTTTTCGGCCAACGTTTATTAACCTCTTGCGCGGACCGTAACGAGTGACCGAATCGTATACAACAATTTGTCGCTTTCTTTTTCCTTTGAACTCGTCGGTATGATATCACTGAATAGAAATTGTTAAATTACTATTGACAGCTTTATGAAAACATTTAATCATTGTCTCCATTTCCTTTTCTAATATATTAATATTTTACCGGTATTATACTGGTATTATACATTTACCGACCTAACATCGTTTTGATACCGGTATTCGCACCATTTCCGTTTCATCAAACGTAATCGAATAGTAACCTAAAAATACTAATATTTTACCGGTATCTGTAATAGTGATTCGGTCTCTGCAAATATCGACTGTTTACTTACTTTCGTTAGACGCTGCAGATGTATGTTTTTTTTCATTGGAACAGGAAAGAAAAGATCTCAGCTTGACGCTCGTGCGAGTGGATGTCGGTTGGTAACGTTTAACCAAGTGACAAACGTTTCTTTTTTTCAAGTAGGTAAATTTTTAATGGGCAATCGCGTGCGAAACGCGATTTTTATGTCCGATAATTTATACATTTTTAACGTTCAGGTTAACAGTTAACGGGAAGCTAGAAATTAGCGTTGAAACGAAAAGACAAGCGGTTGTTTCATCTCATACTTGTATACGAGTATATCTAAACGAAGTGACGGAGGAAAGGGAGGATCGTGCGCGGCGTCGATGCGTGAAACTCAATAAAAGCTAGTCCGGATTCAGACGGTAGACGGTGGATTGTAGTAGAGAGACGGGATTGAAGTAATCACGTTATACAAAACAGTTAAGAGGTTCCCAGGCGCGTACCGCTGCGCCGCGCCGCGCCGCGCCGCGACAGACAACCCGTATCTTCGTGTAGCAGCACAAAAGTGTTAAACGAA